TGGGTTGTCTTTTAGTCAATGTATAAACACTGAAGCAATTGTAAGCTCCTTGACTGCTTAATGGTTTGATGGGTTAATTCTCAAACAGCTTAATGTTCAATATATATATATATATTTATGCGTTGATGTGGCACAATCTGTACCGTTCAACCCAGTCGGATGAACCAGTGACCCACCGGAGGCAAAAATAGTTCGGCCTCCAGGTCAGCTTTTAAAACATTGACATATACATCTTTTCATTCGAGTGTCACACAAAAAAGCATTATAAACATCCAATTTCCTAATAGACCAACTTAAGGAAACTGCAATGGGAAGAACCATGTGAATGGTTGTTGGTTTGATAATAGGACTAAAACATATCTTTATAGTCTACAATGGGGCGTTGATAAGAGCTTTTAGCTACAAGTCATGCTTTGTAACATTCATTTGACCCATCCACACACTAAGGTCCTGTTTGGTTTGTAGGAATAGGGGTCTAGAATTGGAATTGGAATGGGTCATTCTGAATCCAACTGTTTGGTTGGACAGAATCGGAATCCCATTCCCTTTCTTGGTGGAACGACATTCCTTCATTTGAGGGAATGACCATTCCCTCCCCTTGCCTTGGGAATGAACTCCCCCATTCCAGTTGATTTCAATTCTCATTCCGATTCCTGTATGAACCAAACAAACTATGGGAATAGACCATTCCGATTCCAATTCTGAAGGATTTCGATTCTAATTTTGACTATGAACAAAACAGACCCTAAATTTTGTGTTAAATCAAGTGGAACAAATTCTCAAGTTCCATTATTGGGAAGAGTTGCAAGGGTCCGTTTGGTTCATAGTCAAAATCGGAATCTGAATCAAAATGGGAATTCCAATCAGATGAAATGGGAATTCATTTTCAATGAAGGGGGAAGGAATGACCATTCCCTCAAATGAGGAAATACCATTCCACTAGGGATGGGAATGGAATTCCAATTTCCCCCAACCAAACAATTGAAGTAATATCAGCTGGAGATGCCAAAGTGCTTGTGGTTCGTGATGAAGACAAAGAAACACCTATTGTATTTATAGGCCCCCACTTGGGTCATGTCATGTAGTAGGTTAATAGTAAAAGCACCAGGCCGATTGACCATTGCAGGTGCTTGAATATAAATAGACAGGTGTAGTAGGAGATGAATTCACTAATGTGTACCTTTCAACTAGACCTGTTCATGGGCCAGGCCGGGCTGGGCTTGGGTTAGGCTTTTACTCTTCATAAACAGGATTTTCTTAGGTCCGAGCCTGAGCCCGACCCGACAAACGAGCCTACAACTTGGGTCCAAGCCCAACCCTAATAAAAAGTCTGAAGCCTGGGCCCAGGCCCAAGCCCGAAGCCCGACCTATTGTCGACCTAATAGAAAGATGGTCGCCGGTGCTGAGTTCGCGTGATTGTGTTTGCCAGTGCTGAGTTTGTGTTGATAAAGCATAGGGAGGAAGAACCCCTGTTTTCTGAGAAACCTAAAGAAGAAAAGAAAATTGAACGAGTGACCATAGGGGAGAGAGAGAGAGAGAGAGAACTGTTTAACTGGAGTGGATAAAACTTGCTATCCCATTAGGGTTCTCCACCGACAACGATCTTGGTAGCAGCATCTTGTTTGACAGAGTGAGGGAAGAGCGGACGAACCTTGCTATGCATCACTATTTTCTACTGGCAATGATCTTGCAACGGTGATCTTGTTTGGCAGAATGAGGGAGGAATAGATGAAACTTGGTATTCCATCAGCCTTCTCTACCAATCATGATATCGTTTGGCTAAGGGAGAAAGAAATTTGAGAGACCAACCCTAAGGTTGTGTTTGGTTTGAAGGAAAAAACAGGGAAATAAAGGGAAAGTTTGGGAAACCTTTACAAAACATAACCAAACCGGCAGTCTGGCGGAGTTCACTGGTTGCGTCAGTTCTGTATGCATGAGATTGTGAGGTTGTGACTGTGAAAACTGAGAAGAGAGAATTGGGGTTCGGCTAAGACTAAGAGAAAGAGATGAGTGAGAAGAGAGGGGTTAGGATATTTAGGGTTAGGGTTTTTGGTACAACCTAAAGGTCAGGCCAAGTTGGGTTACTTTGACAAATTCCAAGTCTGACGTGAAATAAATTCGAACAGGGCTTTTAGGCCTGAGGTCAAGCCCACGAGCTCAAATCTGTGTTCAAGCCCATCCGGGGGCTG